TCACGAAATAATTTTATATAATAAGCACGCATTATTTACACATATAAATTTCATTCAATAAATTTTAAAATTATAAATAAAATTCTAAAGAATTCTTTTTAAGTACCTTAACATTTTTAACATAATTATGTACTTATATATTGAACATTTCAGATTTTTTTGTTTTCTCCGCGATAAAATCATTTGCGTGTAATAAAGTAATACATTATTTTGCATTTGATAGAAAAAAAAAAAGTGCATTATAAATTTATTTTTTTCATATTATCTACTATTCATTACATAAACACACATTATGTACATAATATGTATGTATATAATGTGTAATTAAAAATTATAGCAAATAAAATAGCATGTATATCAATAACTCTAATTAGCATAAAGATAAACATGCGTCTAATATTAAACAATTTCCAGTGAATTCCACCTATCATTATGTTTTTTTTTTTTTTGCTTTTAAATTGTTTTTAATTAATTCAGAGCAACAATTTATTGTATAATTTTTTTGTATATACTAAAACTAAAGCCCAACAATTTATACATATTGAAAAGATTATATGTATATGAATGTTATGTAAATTTTGTAATAAATTGATAACATATGTATGTATATATAATAATATAGTTGTGTTTATGTGATAAAATAAATGCTATTTTAATATTATTGAATTGGTATTTGTTTTGGACTCGCATTTATAATTGTACAATTGGTAATATACCTACCTACATACATAATATACTTAATATAATTTTTATATATTATCAAACTTAATTATTTGAACTTTTGCAAGAAAAATTTTTGTAAACAATATATAAGGGGTTACACCCCATACACAAAACACAAAAATTAAATTTTTTTAATAAATGAACTTAATATTCGTATAACATAATTAGTTTTTGACGATTTTTATGATATTTTTGATTTGTGTAATAACAATGCATTCAGCGCGTTATTTAAATTTTAGCATTTTTTTTATAAAATTAGTCGAAATAAAATAATAAATATACAGTCATACTATCGCAACAGAGTCATTAAGAGCGAAATTATTCACAAATCACGAAATGTGTTTTGTAACATGTGACATTTTGAAAAGTGGCTCTGTGATTTTTGATTTTATTCATTTTATAAGAGAGCACTTTCGGCGTATAACAAATGGTTAACAATCAAAATGTCATAAAAAGAAAAGTATACTTTCATTCATTAGGGTATTAAAGTTTTTAAAAAAGCTCTCTTTTAAGTGCCCGATAAACTCAGATAAAAAACTAGGGGACCCAGAAATAGATTGAAATCAATAATTACATACATACGCATAATATAAAGCGTTGTATACATCATAAACAAAACAATTTCCAATCAAAGAAATTTCTGATAATTCTACTTTCAGTAATTTTTCAGTAAAAAATATTAAGAATAACATTTATTATTTTTGTTTACGTTTCAGTTATCGTCCATATATTTTTTACGTGTTCTAAAAGAGATGACACTCGTCTATAAATACCTGTTGCATTCAATAAAACTATAAACAAAAATAGGTAAGTTTCAAGTTTTCATAATATACTTAAGGCCATAATTAATATAAAAAAAAATTGATGAAAATCATGTCAACTCTCAAAATATAATATGTACATATGTATGTAGTTATTTTTGCCTTATAACTGCACAAGTTGTTTGAATATATTTCAAAAAACAAGTTGATTAGATTAACGTCATACATTTCCTGATTGTACCTAACTTGATTTACTTAATATACATTTTATATATACATATGTACATGTGCATTAAGTTTTAATGTAAATGGCTAACAAAAATGGTAAAATATTTAAGAATCATTAAGAAAATGTTTCTTTAAAATTATTTTATTCATTTCCATTAGGAACGGTTTCCCAACTGCAAAGAATTTTCATTTCCTTTTTTATTACATAAATTTCTTCCATATGTGCACACAAAATGCGAAAGAAAGCTAAATTTTCTATTGGTTTTTTATACGTACATATGTAGGTATTCTATATAAGTAACATAATGTACATTGGGTACGTGCTTGCATATTATGCTTGCTATAAAGAAAAAAATTAAAAAAAATGAATTCAACAGCGTTTACTTCATCCATATGTTATACACACTTATATTTACATATGTTAGAAGTAACATGTGCGTGCATACATATGTATATACTTATGTATATAACAATGAAAATTGATATGATTACTAAACATACCAAATTAACAATATGTTGTGTAATCATGTTAACTATTGTACTTAATATAGGAATCACAGACGAATGAATTTTCGAATTTTGTATCACCTCTTCTTTTTCTTTTAGAATATTTATTATAGATGAATTAAAGTTTATATTGTAATAAAAAGGTATGAATGTATGTATATATTCATAATAATGAAATTAGAAGAAGAACAAAAATGTATTAAATAATTTTCTTCATTCTTTCACACAAAAAGTTAAAAGAGATCAATTGAAACCGACTGAACTAAATGCAATTTTTCAGAAGGAACAATAATTACATTGACTTTAACATTTTATAAAAAGTTCATATCTAAGAAAAAAAAAATCATATCTAAGGGAATTTTGAGTTTTGTTTTATTTTTTTTTACTATAAAGTCAAATGATTCTTTCAGAGAAACGGTATAATAATAAATTAGAGAAACTGTTGAAATATTTTTATAACTTAACTTTGAAAATAAAGTTAAATGTAAAGAATTTACTGTGATTGCAGTGTTAATAGAATTGGTTGTTCAAAAAAACTATAAGAAACTACCTCATGAAGACTTAAGGAAAGAAATTATTTTATAACAAAAGTTCGATTGTAGCAAGTGCATAAAGTATATGATATAAATTGATAGCCACTGTGTTGTTATGAGAAAATTTTAAAGCACATGCATATTTGTCTACCAACCCATAATGTATTTGTAAATAATAAGCTGCCTTGTTTGTTGCATCACGTTTATTATTCGTTGTAGTTGCATATATGGTAGAAGACGAAAATAGGAAGATTTTAAATGAGTAAAACAGATTCGGCACTTAATTGAATCTCGATTAGGTTCACTCCTCCGCTATAATTGAAAGGTACTATGCAAAGAGTCTCGAATGTTTTGTATTAAACACTTATTCATTTGCATTTAATTTCATTCGTCCTATATTACATCCTTCTCGAATAATTTTAAGTTGATTCTATTTTAATTTTCTTGAGATTATCTCTATAATTACTAAAAATGTTTGAGTGTATGTGTACATACTTATGTAACTGAGTATCTTTACAAATGAATTCAATAAAATTTCTCTTAAAAATTTAAAAATAAACACTGTGCTCAACTTAAAATAACAAAGATTTTTTTTAATTACCAGAATTCGCAATGGAAAAATTAAATTGGAATTCAATTACATTTTCTTTTGCCTTCTATACGAAATAAATTCATATAATAAACAATTATAAATCGAGAAAATATGAGAAAAAAAACGTAAATTCTTCAATTGTTTTATTAAAGAAAAAATAAAAAAGAAAAAATAAAATACGTATATAAAGATAAAATATAAAAATATTGCAATAATAAAAATAAAATAAAAATTAGATAAAAACCACTATGAAAAAAAAATAATAAATAAATTAAAAAAATAAAAGAAGAAAAGAAATAAAACAGAAACAAAATTTTCATTCAATTCTCTGTAAAAAAATTTTACGGTATTTTATAGTAGTTTGCTGTAGTAATAAATACCGTACTCTATATAATATAACTTGAGTTATACAACATACATACAACATACATACCTTTTGGAGTATTGCATGTAATATTTTTACAAATATTAGTTCACATCTTTACCTTTTAAATTTATAACTGAAGTACTCATTAAACAGTATACGCAACACAATGTAATGTAAGTGCATGAGAAAATACTTTTACTAATAAGTTGCCGCTTTTAAATTGTCTACCTGAATACCTTAATGTTTTACATTTTGCGCTACACAACATAATAAAATTGTGAGCATGTAGTCAGTATATGGCGATACATTTTTTTCGCAATACAACATTCTCGTATTCTGTTAGTAATTTAACAGAACAAAATGTTATAATAAAAATAAACGCCATGACGTTTGTTTTATCTCTTCATTTTTCAGCCAATATTAATTTTGGAATCTGTTATTATTCTCTTGTAACATGAAAAATGGCAATTTTATTTGTATATTTTTTTGAATTAATTGTTTTATTATATTTATATGTGAACGTATTTGATATACATGCATACATAATTTAGAACTTCTATGACATTAGATACAAATTTTTGTAAAATTTTGATATTTTTCAAATTAAGCAATGTATTATACATACGTGATAGTTATAAATGTTAGGAACCCCCTTAAAATTTTTGATTAAGTTTAAAGACTAGGTTTTTCCTGAACATACCTGTTATAATTCCGTATATCATATTCCTTATTACGACTTTAAAGCTCACAATAGTCACAATTTGGTACTGATCTTTGATTGCGAACTACATATAACATAAATTTAATTTTTTTTTTGTTAAATAAAAATCCACTAACTTAAGTCATAACGTTGGATAACAGAAATTTATGTAAATAAATAAATTCTTTTAAAAACATGTTGATTGATAACAGTATTGCATTGATGTACAGAAATTTTGAAATTTTAAAGCTACAATGTTAGATGTAATTCTGCTTGTTGCACTGTAGCTATAAAAAATAACAAGAATCAAGATTAACAAGACCACAAAACAAAATTCCTTAACTTGTAGTATTATGAAAATGTATATATTATGGATATAAAAGGTCGCTTTGCGATTATTTTTGTTTTTAATTTTTTTTTTAATTCATTCATATACATTTCTATGAAAACTACACGGGGAACTACACTTCAATACTACAATTGGTAAATAACGCTACAAGTGTTTTAAATTAATCACCTTTATTTTTTATACCTCTTGAAAAATACAATATATCCATTTTTAAATTTTTCTAACAGAAGACTAGAAGAGGTAAAAAAATATTTTCACTACAAACAGTTAACATTAAAACGGCTTTGAAAACGGCGGAATGTTTAAAATACAGCGGATAAAATTTTGAATTCATAAATAATAAAAAGAAGAAAAAAAAGAACAAAATGTCTATACTAGTGCTAGTAAAATATGCTTAAAAGACTTAAAAAAAATAAAAGGTGGATTTAAAAACGAAAAATTTAGCGTTTTGCACAGAAATTAAATACACAAAAATCAAGATAGACACTAGAAAATTTTATTTTTAGTGATTTAAAATTTTTTTAAAATAAAAAAAAAATTAAGTGCCTTAGTTAAGAAGTGCACTATTCGACGTTTATGAATTTTAGTATTAAAACTAAATATTAACTCCAAGTAGGTTGGTACTTGCAATTCGGGGTTTAAATTTCACATACACATACACTGAACTTAAAGTGTAAATTTTGAGATTTTCGAAATTTAAGTAAGTAATTTTGTTTACGCAAGGCTAGAAGTATTTTTGGAATTATTAAAATTTTAAAAGGTGTTTTTTTTTTTTATTAAAGTGTTTGTATGAAAAAAATTATTAAAAAAATTTTAATAAAAATATATATATTATGTATGTAAATTGTGTATAAAAAGAATTAAGAAACAAAATTAATTAAAGTAAATAATTATAAAAAATTATTTCGAAAATGAGCACTAAATTCGAAAAACAAGTTTCATTGCCCTCCGGCAATTCTACAAAACCACGTCAAGCAACAGCACAACAAGTATTATTAGAAACTACAACAAACAATTTAGAAAATACAACAAATAATAATAAAGAAATGGATACAATAATTAATAATAATTCAAATAATAATATCAATGTTAATAGCAATGTTATTAACAATAATTGTAATAATACTAATACCACTACATGTAATGATGGTATTGAATCCAAAGACGAAGTTGATTTTGTTCGTACAAAAACATATCCACCACCAACGCTTATTACATCAAAAAATGATAATACCAATAATCAGAAGTGCTCAATAATGAAAAAATTAACATCAACAAATATGTCAAATTTATATAATGATTGTGAAGTTAAATCAAGTCTTAAATCATCATTATCAACCTTAGAAAAATTCTCATTTTTTACATTAGGTCGCAATCATAAAAATAATCATCATCATATTAATAATCAAAATCAAAATAACCAACAACAAAATTCTAATAATAATAATAATAATAATAATAATCATTTAATTAATATTAATTTGAATAATGAAAATAATAATGATATTGATAATCATAATAAAACTTCTTCAACAAAACAACATTCAACTTTAAAAAAATCAAATTCTGATCACCAAATGTTATCAATTAAGCATAAATTTGGTAAAAGTGCATCAATAGCACGTTTACTCGGTCATACATATAATACAAAAAAAGTTGAAAATGAATTATTAAAATATAAAAATAATAATTCTAATTGTAATAATGAAATGTTAACAAATGGTGGTAATCATTCAAATTTTAATTCAATTAATAAATGTGAACAAAAATTATTAAAAAAAAATTTTAAAACAAATTTCGGTAATAACACCTCAAATTATACTAATACTCAAAATCGTAATATTGAACGTTTTCAAATGTGCACAAATAATGAAGATGATTTAACAGCAATCAATTTAACAAATTTACATTCAAATAACAATACTAATAATAGTAATAATTATAATACTAGTACTAGTTATAATAATTATAATACGAAAAATAAAACGAAATTAAATCAAACGAAACAAAATTCCATAAATAATAATAATAATATAAATTCAAATTGTAATTGTATTAGTCAAAATGAATATAAAAATAATTCAAATTTTAATGAAAATAAAAGTCATAATAATAACAAATGTAATTGTAATAATAATAATAATAATGATAATAATAACAATAAAACACAAATTAGTAATAATAATAATAATAATATGAATAATAATAGTAATGGTAACAATGAAGTCAATATACAAGATTTTCAGGAAGATCATTATAATGATATTAGTGCAAAAGCTTTTCGTACAATTTCCCGTAGTTTAGGTAAATTGTGGTGGAAAAGAACCCATAGCGTTGAAATAAGTGCACCAGATCCAGAATATAAAGTATCATATTTAGGAAATGTATTAACTGGATGGGCTAAAGGTAAATTTTTTTTTTATCATAATGAAAATTTATTAGTAATTAATTAATAAATTAATTTATAAAGATTTTTGAGTTTGTCGAACAAGATCGGCTTAAAAAGAAATTATTTTACTTTATCTTTACCTTTGTAAGAGTCAACAAATTCGAAAAATCAAATTAATAAGTTAATAATTATAAGCAATGCCTTATTGTTGTTACTAAATAAGCAAATACTGCTCATTACCTTTCTATATAAAAGCTGTTGGTAATATTATTACAGAATTTCAAAGAAATTTGAGATATTTTCAAAACAATTACTTATATACAATCAATGTCTACATATTTGTGATATATATCGTAAGTAGATATATATATATATATATACTTATTATTTTCACATAGGTAATTATTTCCAAATATAGTTAACCCATTATTATTTTATTTTCAATATAAGAATTCAATTAGTAATGAAATCAGAAGGTTATTTATACCAAATTTGTATATTGAAATTATATGTATGTATATATGTGTACATATAATGTAAAACTAGACTTTTCATACATTAAGCATATGATATACATAGGTACGTATATAAAACATACACTTATGTATAACATATAAAAACACATCAAGGTCGGAGAAAATAATTCAAAAAGATCTACTTTAACTATGAATGACTACATAGGAAATGTAGAATAAATTTCTTATGCAAATTTCATTATTTTAAAACTGATGCAAAAGATTTTTAAAGTAAATACATATAAGCTATACGAGTATGCAGCTGTGGCATGAGTTCATCAACAAATTAAATTAAAATTATTGTACCTACATGAAATAAATTCTTACTTGTGTAGTAATAGTTATGAATTGTTTTCCGGCAGTGAATGAATGTGCACATACATACATACGTGTATATATACCTTTGTATATATGTTTAGGTTTTATTTATTCTTTGGTTACATAAGTAAATATAAAATTCTTGTGTCAATTAAAAATATTCTTACTTAAATATTTCAATTAATTGAAAATTAAATTTTTTGTTCCTTCTATAAATGCATAAGAATTCTGTTTAAAATAAATTTTTTTTTTTGTTTAAATATGAGAGAAAAAACACAATTCAAGTTTGTATATTTTTTTTAATTAATTTTTAAATTAAATATTGCACAAATTTGATTTGAGAAACGCTTCATTGAAGATACTTAGTTAAGTACTCCACTGAAGTAGAGTAACACAGTACTTTTAATTTGTGAAAAACCGTGTGGCCAAAAATTACTACAATTTTATTACCCTATAAGCATTAAAATTGCATCAACAAAGTTTTTTTTATTTTAAACGAACTTTCGCTTAATACTGTGTAGGTACTTAATTCGTTGACTAGGGCAAAATATTTTAACATTTAACATTTAATATTTTAACATTTTTAAAATACTTAATAAAAGAAAAGTAATGTTTTTGACTTTCATTTGCAATCAAATAAGCAAATACATGGCATTATTGTTTTTGTTTTTGCTGCTACTCAATACCTGATCATTATTCACTATCATGTTCATTTCGTTCGAGAACATTTTAATAAAATGTTTTCAATTTAAAAATTCTACAATATACATATATTTGCTTTTTTATAATTTCAACTAAGGTTAATGGGGTTGAATTTTAATTAGCAGTTGTAGTGCTTTTTTTTTTTTTTTAAGTTTTTCTTTAGAAATTTTATGACACATTTAGAATTTTTATTTCAAATACATGTATGTACTTACTTATAGTTTATAAATTTAGTCGAATGAAACAAACAAAAATAAAATACAAGTTCATTTCGTTACACTTCACTTCTTCACATGTTTGCCTTTTAGAATTAAATACTTATGTAAGTAAATGAAAAGTAATTCGTATATATATTTATAAGTACTTATATGTACTCACCTAAAAGTAAATAAATAATTATTATGTTTTTTAATTTTTTTTGTACATATTTTGTTTTTTAATAAAAAAACTGGTATTTTTTTCATACATACTTATAGTTGTGTTACGCAAATAAGTATACACGGGAACTTTTGAATGTTCAACTATATTTAAAAATATTGCAAGTACATAGGTATTACAAAATATAGGATTAAGAACAATAATAATTACTTATACTTTGCAGTTAGAATATATTTTTGTACTTATTTACTTAAGTTCTTACTTATAGTCTTACAAAATGACATTGAACGCCTGAAGATCATATTTTTGAGTAAAGATTTCAATTGGTCATTTCGGTATTCTATTTATATATTTACAATAATAATAAGCAAAAGTAGAGGAAAGTAACATTAAAAAATTTCCTTAATATTAAATTTTGGTAAATTTTTATGAATTGCAATTCCAAAATAATTATATATTCTTAGTATTTTAATTCTAGTAATTCTAACTAGAAATATATTTGAATACTTTATAAATGTTTAGATTAAAATGGTTCATTCAATATACTTACTAACACCTTTTAATTTATAAATGTACTTATTATCACAAATGTGACTTTGCAAAGCATTCAAAAGCGTGTTACATTATTACTTACCTACATACTTATAAATGTAATTAAGTATGACATAGTCATATGCATATATATACTTACATTTTTCTTGGGCATACAGATGCAATTAGTAATCGAGTGTTAAAAGTCATAATTTATTTTTATCAAATATTTGCTCTGTTTTTTTTTTGTTTTTTTAATTATGTTAATTAAAAATTTACGACGTCACATTTATATTTTTAATTTAAACTATACTAAAATTCAAAGTGTGTGTTCATGTTAAATTAGTCTAATTAAAGAAAGCATTTGTATATATATATATGTATATATATTTGTATATATATATACATATATGTGTATGTATATGTATAATTTATAGGTAAAATGATAAAATTTTGGAATTTTTCCATTAATATTCCACATAATGAATGTTAAAAGAGACTAGTAAGAGAAAAATAAAATTTCCATTAATAAATTTATTATAGGAAACGTGTTTTAATTAGAGCAGAAGCACAAGAGAAGTAGCTTTTTGTTCTACAAAAATTTATTTCATTAATCAAATTGGTTGGTAATAAATTATTACCTATACAAACATATAAGTAGTATTCATTCAAAAGAATGTTATCTTAAAATTTTGGATATTCCTCAATTTTGCAGTAAAGTTAAGTAAATATTCAAAAATATTCAATAAATACTTATCTAGTACTAAATTACTTAAGACGTATATTTGGGTATAATTTTTTTACACACATGCACATTGTGGGTAGTGCATTTCGGCATTATAATGATTTTGTTTTTTTCATTTCTCTCTCATTTATATTACATACATACATACATATTATAAAGATACATATATGCACAAAACAATAATTTAGTATTCGTATACTTACAAAGGTACAAATAAATAATTAAGGGAATTTAATGAACGACGATCATTTTTTATTGCTTTGGGATAAAAAGATAAAAGATTAATTTTTTTTAAAAAACTTTCCTAATACTTTTTATCTTTTTTATTTTGTTTATTTTTTTTTCTTTTAATTTGTCTTTTTAACTATTTATTGTTTATTTTACATGTTTATATTTAAAAACTATCCCCAAAAGGTTGAATATTTTGATTACAAGCAAAAATAAGCAACTACATAATATGTGTACATATACGTATATGTGCATACTTATTAGGCTAATGGAAATTTTTGGTATACTTTGGTTAAATCAAATAAAAAACAAAGGGCAGATTATTGTATTGCACAGATAATATTTCATAAGAACGTAATAAATTTTGGGAAATTTTTTTAAAAAAATTCTACAAACAATGTACTAGATAGGATTTTTTAATTTCGAATAATTTTTTTACCGAAATATGATTCGAATTTCGAGTATTGGTATGTAATCGAATTCGAACCTAAAATTGGAATATAATTTAAAATGGAACTCTTACTCGTAATCCATAAATATAGTTCGAAATCTAAGTGTTATTCGAAATTCAAGTGTAATTTAAAATCGAAACATAATTTATTTTCAAGGGTTCTAAACGCTATAGGCTATTATAGTTAAACTAGCTATACATTCTAATATAGCTTGATTAACGCTTATTTTTTTTATTCCTACAAAGTTCCCATATTTTGTGTAAGAAGTATTAAAAAATTTTGACATTTTTATGTTTATACCACGAAATTTATGTCTTAAAAAAATTCTTTTTTTTTTTTTTTATTTTTCCATTTTGATTTTTTTATCTAAGATTCCAATAAATCTGAATTGTTTAACAAAAATGGAAAAATATTTCTTACTATTCTTTTTGAATGAATATAGCCATTATAAAATATGTTTAAATACAAAAGTTGTAATCAGTGGCGAGTCATGCTAATTCATAAGAATTGTTTTTTTTTTCAGAAGTAAATTTATTTATTTTCTGATTTCGAAAATATCTACTGCATAATGTTAAATCTCTATAAGTACCTACTTGATTTGTACTTAAATAAAGTTAAACTTAATCTAAATTCTTAAAAGTGGTATAAATAAAAGTTTAGTATAAAAATGTTTGTTAATTTACTAACAGAGACCAGCTCTTTATGCCTTATTAAAGGATAATTTTAATTTGAAAGTGTAATTAATTAAATTTTCAAAAATTTTCTTTACATAAGCAAATTGTGTTGTGAGTTTGTTATGAATTGTTATAATTATTAAAATATTATTTATTAATTAAATCTCATAAATTATTAATACCAACCCCGTTTTGAAAAGTTCTTGAGAATTCTTTTGAGCAAACCGCAGGTAAGAAAATGATTCTGAAGTTTGACACTGATCATAAGCTATTCACATAAGTACAAAAATCTTTGTAAATAATTATAAATTCATTCAAAATATCATAAATATACATACTACGTACTTATATGTGAATAAGTGTAACTATTCGAAAACTAGTTCAATAAACTTCTTCTACAACTATTCTGTTTGATTTTTCTTCTCTTCATACACAAGCAATATTTTTTTTTTTCCTTTTTTTCATATTTAGTGT